GGGTTTGGCATGTGTAGTTTCCTGCCCAGCAGCGACTAACGCATGCTAATGTGCAACGCACCTACTGCGCGATACAGTGCAGCAGTTGCTTTGTATGTACTTTTTTTTTCATTCGCACCACAACGCACGGTATTATGTTACCACTTGTGCATTGCGGCCAAGAGGTGCGTTTTAAATGAATGGCAACGCAAAGTACCTGCCTCACTATAACATACGCTCGGTGTGTTGCGCGCTACCGTGTGCTAATCGGTTCAGCCCTCCACAGCCATCCCAGTTTCCTGTGTGCAAATCCACCCCTGAACCAACCGAGAAAATGAACTGGTCACCCCTGATCTACAACCACTAACACAGCATCTAGCCTGACAGCTTTTCCTCTGCATATAGAGGACAAAAACACCAGTGGCAAGTGTGAATGCATTATTTTCTGTTTCTGTCTGTGCTATCATTGGAGAGTTCCCCTGACTTCCTGTCTTGTAAACGGTTGTCAGCAGCACAGGAAGTCTGGATACATCTCTCTAAGGAAGCCCCCGGATAGCAATAACAACCTGGCAGGTGTTTTAACCCCCCTTTGCCACTTTATTCAAGGCTAAGAATATAAAATTCTGGCTGGACATACATTTTAAATGCTGGGATCTAATAAACAGAGAAATCGAGTAGACAGAATTTATCAAAACTAGAGCAGTTGCTCATAGCAACCAATCAGCTTCCCTCCAGTTTGTTCAGGTAAGCTTTGAAAATGAAAGAGAGGAGCTGATTGGTTGCCACAGGCAACTGCTCCAGTTTTGATAAATTGCCCTCAGAAGCCCGCATTTGATGCATGAAGGCAAAGTCCGAGGTAGCCGTCACTTTATCTTTGAGCTAACAAGCCCTACAGTCTGATAGAGTTAAAAAAAAGTCGGGCGGGCCCTGCAAGCTAAATATTGAGCGTGTTTGAGGCTCCTTGCTGCCTGAGTGTCCTTTGTCCCTCCTCTCTCCGCAACAGCCCCAATGACAGCGGAGACCCCCGGACCCATGCCATCCTGATCCCGGCCCCAGCATGCCGGACACAGAGCCGGACAGAAGCAGGAAAGCCCAGCCGGAGGGAGAAAAGACAGACCCGGCTGGCAGCCAGCATGGCACGGCTGGGGTCCTGGGTAAGGCTGGTGCCAGCTTAGAATAAACACTAGAAATAAAGGATGGGGGGGTTATATCGCAGCCTGGCAGACACAACTGTAGGCTTTTGCGGCTGGTCAGTGACAGCGTGTGTGCGGATCTGTAGATTGGCCTCTGTGCGGCACGCACTGCTCATGCTTTGTTTATGCACCTTGTGATGAGCCGTGTGCCAGGGGCTGAGGATGTACGGACTTGGTGCCAGGTGTCACATCTGACATTGCAGATCCCCTGCCCCGCGTGTGTTTGTGTGTGTGTGGGCAGCCTGCATTCTACTAGTCATGCTTTGTGGACTTTATGATGAGGATCATCATGACAATATAAAACGTGTGCTGCTGGCAGGACCCTCTGCATCAGATGAGGGATGATGATGACGACACGAGGGGGGCAGCTGCTGATGCTTCATGCACATGCTTGTGTTTGATGGGGTGCCCAGCGCTGTGTAACATTGGGCCATCAGGTCACTTTGTGTGTATTGGAAGAGGATGAGCACATCATGGAAAGGCACCCAGTGCTGCAGTAGATGAGGGCATTCTGTTTAGGCTACATG